AATTATTACATACTAATTATAATAAAAGTAACCCTTAATTCGACTGCAATAGTATTTGTATTTGTTACGCGTTATTTTTGTTGATTTTTAAGAGATTTTTTTCTGTCTTTTTGAGATCTCTAGTTTACACGAGTGTTGATTATATAATTTTATCACAATTATGTTTTACAGATATCTGCTAGTGTAGATAGATAATATAGTATTAAACTGTATGCCCATCAAGACCCATAATGTTAAACCTTTGTTTCCAATGTAAGTACCGTATTTCTTCCTTTCGAATATTTGTTAATGAATCACTTCAATCTATAGTGAGCAGATACTTGAGAAAACTCATTTACTCATTATTACATAGCTATCAATCTTACTGACAGACAACTCAATTAACTAGCATTTTAGATGCTGTAACTGTTAATTAAATCTTCCACTGAAGGAACGAATGTCTAAATCACGTGTTTGACTAATAATTACTTGATTGTCTTTATCACCTACTAGAATCTTTGGAAATTAGTAAGACGTGATTTCTACCTATCAATAAAGAAACATTTATTGAATAGCGGCTTTTACTCAATAAATAATACTTACAGAGTAGAGAGAGTGCCTGGCTTTAATGGTCAGAGAGGTATGGGATTTTAATTTAGTTCTATTATTTAACGACTGAGACTTGTTTGACAAAATTAATCAATAAAATTAAAACTAAACGAATTTCACTTTCTTTACTTATTTATTTCATGCACCTATTATTTATATATTCGGTCCATTATATAACAATTTTAAGACAAACTCAAATAAGTAATGTACATAAAACCTTTAAAAATGTTCAATACAATTTATTTGAACAATAATTCTTAATAAATTCATAAACTAGTTAATATATTTAGGCCACACAGATTGTTCTGGGTTAAAGGTATATCCTGACATTATAAGGACCAACCGGTATTGCTTAGGGGAAACTAGTTTGCTCAGAAATTGGATATTACCGGTAAAATAGAGTCTGTGTTATATAAATTTCCTTTAAAACAGCTATTCTTGAATACCCCTATTTCCTGAACTGCACAAATATATAATGTAATAAGTTATATAATTTTATCATATCATATGTCAATGAGGTGCGAAAAGCTTACACAAATAAGTTTAAATAAATGATTAATACAAAGTAAAAAGTTTATGTTAATAAATATATTTAAATTTGTAATATATTTTACGACAGAAAAGGCACTGCTAAATAATTGTAAACGAAAAAGGATATATATTCTAAATTGTGGTAAGTTTATTTCATGCGAAAGCCTACTATAATATTAAGGAAGGGCGGGAAGACAAAGCAAATCTCTGTTACTTTTGTCGCTAAAAATTAACAATGAATTGTGTATATAAAATTTTATGTAATATTATGATATATGTAAGTCAATACAGAAAAGAATGGTCTAATAAAGTCTTTACGCAGGGTACTGTTTTCATGGAAGAAGAAAATTGTTACAAACGGGGATTAGTGGACCAATTGCTATCAATGTAACTCCATACAACCGCCCCATTACCATTGATTTCTGAAGAACTCGCCCCGTTGAACTAATTTATCTACCTTCATGCTCCTCCTTTGGTGCCACGCCAGCGTATATCAGGGATACCATTGCATTATACTGTATATAAAATGTTTTGATTCCATTATAATACTGAAATATAGAAAACTATGTAGTTAACGTAAAGCGGACGTTAACTACATAGGCATATGGACATAACTGTACAAAGCCTACGTTACAGCGTAACGGTGAATTCAGTTGAAAACACGTTTTTCAGTCGAATCGAAAAAGAGGATTACAATTGAACCGGATTTTGTGTAAATAGACATGCGGTGTCTGTAATAACTCTGAACGAATTCTGATTGATTTATTTTTTAAATAAAGACTTTTACGTCAATGTAATATGAATTTTTATGCAATTGATGAACACTTTTCAAACAACTTTTTAAAAAATTATTATTAACATTATTTGACTCTTTTTTTGTTAAAATAATTTTATGACTACATCTACATCAAGATTGAAATATAATCTTAAATAATGTAGGTATACTTTACTTGTATAAACATTGAGGAAGCTTCCAATATAAATATTAAACAACTATAGAACAATGAAGCAAGTAAAAAATACGTTTCTAAATCAAATCAAACTCTGTAGGGAACATTGTTAGATTGATGTACGAGAGATAAGTGTCCCTCTTCGTCCTCTATTAAATAAAATGAAAGAAAGGTCACAAGCAACAAAGAGATTGCATCGGAAAGAGGTTATGGAATACAATCAAAGACTCAGGCGAGAATAGTATAAAGACTTCATACAATAGACCTTGCAAGATAGATTTTATGTATGGACAGCTAACTGCTTTAACTAAGCTAATAGCTTTAACTAGCTATTTAACACTTTAATAATAATCCTACTAATGTTCTTCAAACTATTCTATTCTATTATTCTAATGGTCTCAAAGTTTTCCGACATTTCAATGCAGATAGCACTCCACACTCATATCTGACAGATACGACTTAAGTATTAAGGTATCGTAAAGGTTTTTAATCTCAGTCTGTCATAATTTCCCAGCTAGAACAGCACAATACATCTATAGAAGCAGGCAAATGAAATAAATCCTTACTAATGCTTGAAAACAATAAAATCGGTAACGATCAAACCCTAAAAATAATTTGTAGAATATTATTGTATATTTATTTTCTGCTTTACCTTTGGCCCAAGATAGACATTAATATTAATATAGATAGGTCTGCATAAATAAATTTACTTTATTGTAATCCCTTTCACTGAGCGTTTTGATTCTTAATAAATTACAGGCTGTACTATGTGTACAGGTTGTACGTACAGATAGTTAAAAATATGTTTTATTATTGTGTATATATTCGACATAGTAATTTAGTACGATCAAAAATGTATTACAACTTTTGATGTCATATTGAATAAATGATTACCCATGTCGTGGGAATCCGTGGACTCTTAACAAGTGGCTAAGTTTTGGTAACTTCTAATTGATAGTCTCATTATAGTTACCGTGGACTTAGACACGGCAACTTCGGACTGGCCGTGTACATCGTCGCTTGTCAATTAATCATTAAGTTGTTTATATTTACAGGGTCTAAGTGAAATTGTAAAGATGAACTAAACAGGTCATAGATAATAATAACAATAAAAATATTTATGTAATGTTTATTAACGAGAAAATTTTATAATTGTACAGTTTCGAATCTAGAAAGGTTAATCAAAAACTGCTGTAACATTTCTGTATAGTAAAGAGAAGACTTCTTTGACAATATTATTGATTCTGTCCAACAAAAAAATTCTGCAATTGTTTCTCACTATGATAATAGTGTTGTTTAATTAGCCTCCTACATATTCTTGATAAGTTTTATGAAGATTGTTGTATTTAAGTTGTATTAGTTGTAAATAATATAATAGACGCATAAAAGTAATTGTAATAAAATGTGATTTTATTTGATACTTCAATCACGGTTTACATACAAATTTCCGATATTATTAGTGAACATAAACTACCAAATAGCATAAAATTACGATAAGGTAACAATTAGAGTTAAGTATCCATATAAATCAGTCGTAGTTAAACTACCAATTTATGTAAATTATTAACGTACCCATAAAGACAAGTCAATGTAAATGTATCTAACTACTTCGATTCCCATCACGAAATCAACAAATCGTAATAAAGCGCTTTATTTCGGAAACACCAAACGTCCACTCAGTTGATGTTTTCTTTTATTTCAGACAAGCGACTTTGTGGTGCAATATAAAGTGGAATAAAACACGTTTTACAATTCGTTTTATCGCATTCGTAAAATGTCGGAATAGATGTCTTTACGTCTACAACTGTGTGATTGTGGGGTCCTATTCCGTTTTACTTAGCACTCGTAAAAGTCATATGCGAAATTACTAGTCGTTAGTATTTAACTGCTAACTATAGAACGACAAAATGTCATGTTGAATGTCCGTTTAAACAAGCGTTCATAAAAGGTCACTTTCTTTACTACGGCTTTCGTTTTTCTAAATATTATGTGATTAAATTAATGTTGGTTATATTTAAAATAATACTTATAGTAGACGTATACACACATATATATATATACTATAATATATTTATATGTACACTTATTCGTACATTCAGTTTGTCACATATATGTAGAACGATTTATTAACTTGAAAACATTAGCAGTCATTAGTGCACTTATATCGATACCGCAATCTGAAGTCATGCAATGTAGTTTTCGAATCAGTAATTAAAAAAGCATAGTTCCATGTAAAATTCTAAGTAAAACTTGCAGGATTTCTATGGCCTTCAAGGTAAAGCAATGCTGCATTGCGGTTCAGCACAGCTCACGCTATTGTTTCAATGCAAACTCAAAGAGTCTATATATAATATCTTGCCAACCTTGATGTATCAGATAAGATTTGTTTGAAAAGCCTTCCTTGTAGCGGGTGAGGTCATCATGATATATTTTAAGGACGAATGTTCCAAGTCTGAAGTGTACTAAGATACCTACTTTAGATTTGTAGGTCGGTGATGGGTTATGGACATGTAAGAGATACTGTAAACAATAAACAAAATAAGCAACAAAAATTCCGATAAAAATATTTTTTATATAATCTGTAGAGAAAGAATACATAAAAGAAATGTTTATACAGTATTCATAATTTTAAAACCTCAAAGATATCGAAATTAGAAACAATATTAATTATAATACCAGTTTGTATTTAATTAAGTTATCTCTTTAAAGAACAAAGACAAAATCAACTTAAAGAAAATCTCATTAAACACTGCCAAGATTTCAATTCACGTGAAACTTAGCGAGTGTTTGAGAATTAACTTGTATTGAGTGAAATTTCATGATGACTGAAAACGTTCAGTTTCTTAAGGAAAACCGAAGTGGAAAGATAATTCAACAAAACAGAAAATACTGCAATAATTGTGAAACAAAAAATGCAACTAAAATAATTACCGAACACGCAGAAGGTGCTGAATGGGCACAAGTTCCTCCTGCAGCAGCGGCAGCCAACGCACTGCTTCCTGGTACCTGTTAAAGTACAAAACAATGTAAAAAACATATTTTCTAATGTATGCAACTCAGTACACCTGGTATCAATTGGATATTATAGCATAAAAAAAAATATTAACTAATGATAATGAAGAACGTTATACGTATCGGAAAACTCAATGTCTAATTAATACCTACAGCATACATAAATGACCTACAAGAAACAGATACAAAGTAAAAAATACTAATTACAGCTAAAGTACGAGAAGTAAGTCTACGAGAGTATTATGTAAACAAAGGAGTATAATTTCCTAGCTATAAGTATTTAAAGTCATTCTATTTAATACAGGGTATGATTACAGGTCAATATTATTGTTTGGGGTTGTGGGATATAGCAGTAATTCTGTATAATAAATAATAACACACCATAATTATTGTTATCCTATAGCGATGTTGGTAAATGTGAAGTACACTGTTCCACCTGTCAAAATTATGTTTTCTAAGGAAACAGATTTGTAAATAAGTGATTTAATTTAGACAATATCTAATAGCGTTATATTATTTAGATAAATACACGGAACATGTCCGATATATACTTCTTATGTAATTGTTATGGAAATCAAACTAACGGTCCGCTTGATAGTAAGTGGTAACCATCGCTTATATAGTGCATTGCATAATACCACTCATATGTTGCTATTCCAGAGGATTTCAACGTTATATATCCTATCCTGTAATTTTATAGTCTTGCATCATAGCTTTCCATAGAAACATCCTATAAAAATAACTGTTTCATGGCTGAAATACGAGAGAATAAGATATCCACGCAGACAACTTATTATATTGGAACATATGTATAATTTATCTATATATATACAAATCTTTAATCTTATTACATTTTGTTACACTAAAGCGATTTAATTTGAGTAATGAATAACGATACTTCATTTAATTATACCTATGTATTATAGTATTTTCACGGTAAAATGATTATATCAGGCACGCTTTGCATGTAACATACTAAATAACAACCTGATTGCAGTTGAAGTAATTACACCTTATGTTTTCACCTTGCATATATAAATATACTTATCAGCTTAAAGATTTCAATTTTATTTTTCATAAACTCTATTTACATTACATATTATGAGTATTGAGTGCATTAATTATATTATTTTTTCTATTTTTAAATTTATTCTCAAATTTGGGATATCATATGTACTTGTGTAATATTATTAGCTAAATTATTAGTAGTCATTTTATATTTACTTTCAATCTAGTTTAGTAAAACGTACCTTCAACTGTTCTTGCTTGTAATCCGGTTGATACGGCAGAAGCATCCGGATTTTCCCCCATCGATTAAAGAAGAGTGCTATAGCTCCTATCCACACTATCAGCACCAATACAACGATCCCTATCTCCACTCCTCGTATCTAAAGAACATTAAAGTAAACAGTTAATATCATTCATGAAAATAAGTTCATATTTCTATCGCTATGAAAATATGCTCCTGACTGTAATCTCATATAACACTGAAAATAAATATTAACACTGGGATTTTTTTATATTTCCCTGGGTATTATTTTGTTCTCGGATTACTAGCAATGTTAGTTTCACGATAAATATAAACACTTACATCGTCATTCATTCGTTCATTGGTTTTTGTTATATATTTTATCAATTTGAATTGTTCAGAAGCTGGCGATCCACCTGATGATAAATGTAAGTAACCCTGGGACCCATCGCCTAACCGTGTAGGATATCATCATTTTTAAATAAGGGACGCGATTTCGGAATACTAAAATATCATTCCTCTATACTCAGTAACTTCACTGGTAAATCTCAACTTTCAAATGTAATTACATTTTATAAAGCACGCTACTTAGCAGACAGGTACTCACGCACATGACTTTGTACAAAGACTGCTTCGGTAAATGTACTTTTGTATGTAATATATCTTTAGTATAAACGTTAAAATGAGATGAACATAATCTCTTGACTGTGGTGTAATAGAATTTTTTGCTCGACTATTTCAGTTGACCAACCGGAGAAAGCCGCAGCTTAGCAAAAAAACCGCAGCTGAATAATATTCCTTTGTTTTGTTATTTTCTTATTATCAGTAAAAAGTTAACTAGTATTTAGGATCTGAATCTAGAATTCATATGCTTTGCAAATGAATATGGATTGCGATGCCTCAGCTGGTTGTAACATTGTTTACTATCTGTGTGATAATAATAAATGCATAAAAATATAAAACACTACTAATATTATATGGACATAAATTTTGTGAGTCTGAATATTCTTAACATCCAGTACTATTCATATTGAAAATTCTTTTAGTGTTGACTAGCTCATTTATCAAAGATGTTTTTAGCATTTCGCTAAAATATCAAAAGGAGCCGAGATGCGATAAAAAATATTACAACAACGGGGAAACATCTGAAGTTACATAGCTCAGCTAGTATAATATATAACTGAACATATTTTATACTATTTTATATACAATTTCAAATCGATAAACATTTCTTTTATTATGCTCTTTTTTAATAAGATTTAAATTTTATTCTTAAAAAGCTAAATAAGTTATTGGAACTACAAAATTGTAAAGGCAACGATAATGAGCAATTCAAAATATGTAAAAAGTATGACGCAACATAGACTATAATATCTGTATGGCATTGATAACCAGAGATTTCACACAATTAAACGAGGCTACAGTTACAACTGTATATAACTGTATAGTTTCGTTTTAATTTAGTAAAACCCAACCACAAAACTCGAAATTTTACATCTTTTGACGAAAGTGCAGTGAGTGCAGAGGGCACTCCAAATCCACATAAGGACTTAAGAGCGGCTAAAGGAACACTCCTGGCTGACGGATATGATTTTACTTCAAAGAGACAAAACATCTTAGTTATAAGAGAAGTAAAGATTTATATGCGCAGCTTAAAATAGATAAATCAAACATAGAAGAGAAATGGGATAAACACCTAGAAATAGGTAAAAAAGATCTGCCTGGACAATGTATTAAACCAGACTTACACCCACCAGTTGCTGCAACATCTTAGATGATAAATTATAATAAATAATGTTAGACAAATTAAGATAGAAAATTTTGCAAATCATTTCAAAATATATTTACAACTTTGTTACTATTATACTAAGTACTAGATTATTTTAAAAAAGCAATTCACAAAATTGTGATTTATGTGGTACAATAGAAGATGAATGTCATTTACTTGTAATGTCAGGAACGATAGTCTACGACGTAGATTAACGTCTGATCGAAAATAAATATATAGGATGTCGGTGTCATACAATGTGTTTTAGACAATCCTTCACAAAGATAATACAGCAATATACACGGCAATTTGCTCACTGGTGAGGTGAGGTGATGTAGTAATGTATTATTAATTTGTACAAAACGCCCCTGAATTAAAAAAAAAGTATATACTATTTTTAGATCATTATTCCTAATATATTCCTATGTAAGCAATAAGACATGCTTGTCAATAAAATATTGTGTTTCAATTGACTATAACTTCAAATCTGAAACCACGATACTTTTCACAATATGTTGCATATTTAGTGTTACATCAATAAATTGCTTTTGAATTTCACAAAGCGGATTAAGTGTTCAATTTGTTCAATCACGTGAGCGTGATTTAATTACGTCGGCTTACGACGGCTAGCTATGGGTTAATACACTGGGTTTGTCCTACTAATATTATATAAATGTGAAAAAAATTCAGAATTTTTAATATTATGTATCTAATTTTATAACTATATACGAGAATTTGATGTAATTATTTTCTTGCGATTAACGGTGTAACGAATATCGAAACAATAGGCAAACAAACAACAAGTCACATTATTACACAGTATGAAATAAATATATTTCAATTTCTTGGATGATTTGAAAACAATTGGACTTAGAAGGTGGTTCTGCTTTTCCGAGCAAAGTCTTTCGGGTCCGTTAGTATTATTAAAAATATTGTAGACCTTATATCGTAGTGGGTCGTTACCCTGACTTACAACCAAATTGTCAAGAGCTCAAATCTGACACCTTCACCAAAAAAACTTTCCTTTGATTTTCCACTAATAAAAACATAGCCAAACAACAAATTAAACTAATCGGAGAGGCGACAGTGCTCTCTGCCACTCCAGATTCAAGTAAACCAAAACAAACGCGAAATGTGAGCATCTCAAATATTGCGTTCACAAACCACTTCGACAGTAAATAATACCTCTGAATACCTGTTCTGGAATTATAATCATGAATGTCTATAATTATTACCGTAGGAAAGGTAGGTGAAGGATCAGGTGGTGCAACTGATGATCGGGGCGTAGCTCCCACTAGTCCCCCGTCCTGCTGCGGCGACGTCCGCGGAGGCTCTGTTGACAACATTCAAGAATTAAACAATTATCATATATTTTTTTTAATTTTCCTACAAGCAGTTTACTGCCTTACCTTCTGATGCTCGTACTTGGACTTGCAAACATTAAAAATATTTATATTCATGAGAGATTGTAGAAGCCGCCAAATAGCTTACTTTGTAAACTGTTTCGGTTCTGGGGTACAATTAGTGAAATTATAGGATAAGAAATATAACGTCATAATATATAGATATGATATGAACTACGTCATATAGAATATAATGGGTACCCATGGTAGCTATCCTTCGTGCGTTGCTATTTCTAAGAACTTTGTATGACATTTAAATTACTAGATATGGAATGTGATGTTATGCCCCCGTACCTAGTAATTTACTTGCCATGTCAAGTCCTTCGTACCTTTGCTTCTTGGTATAGTAAGAACCTGTGTGTGACAGTGACAGGCAGATAAACACATACAGATAATAACGTACATCAGTACATTGACAGAATAATATGCCTAACACTATAATCCTTACTAATATTATATGTATATACAAACTAACTCTGTCTGTCTGTAATTAATCCTGTATTTTTTATCCGTCATCTTTGAAGACCGATGAAACTTTTTTATTTGATTTTTATTAGGTTAGATTATAGATTATATATTTAATATATTCATTATTTGGTCAAGGTCATTATTATACGCATACGAAGTTGCGGGTACAGTTAGTCGTCAATAAAGCTTACGTAATAAAAATAAATTAATTTATTCATTGATATGAGCAGCCATCTTGATAACGATTAATATATACGTGAGTATGTAAAATCATTTTTTTTATTATCATAGAAATCAAACCTACCATCATTCAGTTAAGAACAAAGTTTGCTAAAAGAGGAAAAGTTGTACCTATTATAAGCGTGTTAATAAATTTAATAGGCAACACCAAACAATACGGACTTTTATAAGACTAATATTAGAACAGGCTATAGGTGAAAATAAGTTTATTCTTTGCGTAAAAATCTCACTGAAATATTTTTAGCCTTTTTGCATTACTACACAAAACTACATAGTAACGTATACCTACTTATTGTGTTTTATCAGATAATACTGGCATATACTGTTTTTTTTTTAATTTTGTTACAGGTTTGTTTTTTATTTCATATTTATCTTACTGTATTAATTGATATGTAATATGTGCTGAATGTGCAAATAAGTAATGTATTTATCTAATTCTGAGCTAGATAGATACAAGATAATTAATTTATCATTAAAAAATTGTCTGTCGAAAGAGAGAAACCTCTCTAAACCAATCAATATTTCACCGTTTTTATATTTTTAATCTATAGTCTTGCTTAATCAATGGGCTATTCAAATTATAATTAATTATTTAGAACCTTAGAATAATTAATAAGAACCAGTAGTTCCTAAGATTAACCATACATACAAAACAAATTCTTTAGCTTCATAATATTAGTAAAGATAGATAAGTCAATTTTAAACTTTTTATTTTAAGAGCATGTAATATCTATTAAATATGTCTTATAAAAGCTAAACCGTAGAAAGCAACTCTGAAATCATTAATATTATTGCATACAAGATGAACTTACGTTTCTAAAACAAAGATGAATTAATTGCTCTGTTTTAGAGCTGATTTATAAGCAGTATTTGCTGTAAATATATAACGATATTGGTTTATCTCCGTCAATCGTTTATCTCAATTTGTTCTTCAAAGTAATATCCACTTTCATACTTCTTGTATCTACTACAATGTTGGGTTTGAAGATTTTCCATCGTCTTGCGAACTCTTAATAGACTTATGTAAGAAATTTAAATTTGTCTTAGTTTATAGGTAATTATTACTAACAGGCAACTAAATAGTAAATAGTATTATCTATATCTATATTGCTGACAGCGAATAGTAGTTGAACACGCAAAGTTAATGATTTCACATATTTCAGCAATTTGAATTTCACGCTAACTTTTGTACTTTCGTTCAGTGTTCATAGTGATACGATTGATGATTGATAATATACCTATTGTATTTATACTCTATATAATATCAAGGTAAAAAGCTATATTAGTGTTTATTTATATGAATAACAAAATAAATTGGAAGTTTTTCGCACAAGAACACTAAGAATTTTAAATCCGAATCGGCATTTCAATATTTCTTCACAGATCTGGTATTTTATTAAATATATGCCTATTAAAATTTATGGTTAAATAAATAAATAAATTTAATTAATAAACATCATTTGCAACATAATATTTTTTTTTTTAATAATTATATTTTTTAAAAAGAAAATAAAAAGGAAATTATGAATGAAATATATTTATTTAATATTCTTGCAGAAAAAAACATTGGATGGAGTAATAAAACCTCTGTTTTTAATAAGAGAGGAGGTACACTTTACACGATAAATTTAATAGTTAGGTTTTGTGTTTGGCACGTAGGTATTTTATTATTTACGTAAACCGAGATCAGGTACTCCTACGGATTTAGGTGTTTTTTTTTATCTTTCGTAGAGAAAACTCTGAAATTGGTTGCATAAAGTTTTATTACATTTACGGCTACAATTTCACCTTCTACATTTGTATTTATGTATTAAATAATTTAAAATAACTGCATTCTTATCTATTTATTTTAGTTATCCTTTGAACTTCTATTTTATTTACTTATTTTTAATTCACTTAATATGTACGTATGTAGTATAGTATATATAGTTGAAAGCGTCGTGGCCTAGGGGTTTACTAATCGGATTCACAGTCAGAAGCTTGTGAGATCAAATCTGGATAAGAAAAAAAAACATTAAAATATACTTTATGTATCAATTTGTTATTATGACTTCAGTGAGTGAAAGAATCACAGATAATAAAGTAAAAAAATATCAGATATGTATGTAGACTCGTACGCTATCGTGTTAGTTTCAAACATAATATTACCGTCGAAACGTGAGCATGTGTTGAGTGTTGCGTTCACCATGATGTTGACCATTGACTCTAACTACCCCATCAGTTAATAGTCAAAACAGTTGCACTGTCTTGTATGAAAAATGTACAGTTTCATAATAATAATAATAATCTCATGACAATTCACACAGTGCTATCTAGACCCAAGCTAAGCTTGTGTTATGGCTACTAGACAACTGCAACAAATACATAGTTTTTTTTTCGTAAATACATACATAAAAAATACCAAGACCGCTACAAACAATCATACTCATGAATACAAATGTTTGTGCTGTGCGAGGAATCGAACCCACTACCATCGTAAGTATGGTGGTGTGCTAAACCGTTTTATTTTTGTGAATATGATTAAACTTATTTGCTCATTATTTATTGTAGATATTATTATTACATCATTGATTTACATACTGCCAAAACTAAGTAATGAATGAATGAGTAACAATTAAGTAATTCTCTAATAAACAGCTGTTTCGTTATACAATGCAAATGCAGACTAAACAACAAGTATACTCAAACAAAGACCTATAAAGACTAAATGCCAAGTCCAAATTTAGAAGTCGGTCAAAGCTCTCGAGATGTGCAGTTGAATCAGGTTTGAGAGAATATTCAAGTTTGTCGGATATAAAACGAAAATTAGTTTGGGATTTTGCTTATTGGATGCTTTTAATTAATTCTGCAAATATTTCGTTGTTCTATCATGACTTATATTTATATTAATATGTAAATTTTTGTCATAATTTACATATTAATGTAAGTCAAGAATTTATTATAATCATAAATGACAGAACTAATTTGTTGAAACAAATAGATTCAAATCTCATCAGGCTGTAACCAAGCGCGAAAATCAGTAAATTTAAATAGGTTTTCTTTCTATATTAAAAAAAATACAGTTTTACAATAACTCACTTATACTTAAGATATAAAGTATACGAATATTATAACTGCTACAGTTGGTCTGTCCATCTGCCTGTTTGTTATTTTTTTATAACTGTAAGGCTGAAAGGCTCTGTTTAAATTCAGTCTCAAAATATTTTTCCAGGACGGATGGACGGAATATATTCATACTTTTTATAAATATATTATATTATATATTCATAAAATCTCGTATAGCTAGCCAGCATTTACATAAAAATGATCTTATTTCGGTAAAGCCATTACAATTAATTATTTATTTAAACTTATTTATCAATCTTACTGATTCGTCTATTACAGTCTCTTTAATTCAAATATTTCTAAGAGCTATTTTAAAACAATGACAATGCCTAGATACATATAAACGGAAACTGCATATAAATGCAAATATACATTTGTATTCATGAGTATGATTGATTGATGAATATGTTACGAAAAAAAAAAATATCTATGTATTTGGGGATTTCATTGTATCTAGATGGCGCTGTGTGAACTGTCCTGGGATTATTATTATTATTATTATTATTATTATATACAAGTTGAGATTGATGAATAGAAACAAAAAACATACTATGTATAAAATTAAGTAAAATTATAAGTTAGCAAACAGAATTTAATATAGGAATATTAAATATAATGCTTTAACATACCGTTAGTATGGAACTTCAATGTATAAATTACAATATAAAAGTAGGTATATAATTAAGAATTCTTGTAATTATTTCCACAGTATACAAAAAAAATTATTAGTGAATCTCTAGTATATTAGTATATTACTAAAGATTCCATGAGACTAGAAGAGATGAAAGCAAGAGTTAATAGAACTCAATAGTTCTCTCTGCCAACTTCTTCAAGATTTTGCCTTAAAGATACATTATTTTCTGCACCACCAATGGTTGACTGGCAGATAATGCCGTATAGAGATAATTCCACCATATGTACTTTAAAATTATGTGCATGAAAGTTTAAATAAATAAATATTCTATTTAGTGACTTGAAAAAGAATAATTATTAGAAGAATCTATATAATGATATAATGTCTTATTTTTGTAAATGCAATATAAACAATATTTAAAAGTCTAATTCTAATACAGTCCGCGAATATAATATTCCTAATAAAAACAAGATATTAATCAATCGATCACTAAATTAATAAATCAGCAAGTTGGTTCTTAGACTAGTACGTACCTAAAATTGTAAATAAAAAAATAAGGGCAAAGCACTTCCTAAGCTCAGAATAACGCCGCTGTATGCTTCTGATGTGCAACACACCCGGAAGATCAAACAGTATTGGAGTTCTGCCAACTTTCACGCCAAAATGAACTCGTGTTCCTTTTGACGAAATTGATGTAATCAGTCGATGCACTGAGAGAATTGGCATGTTAAGATTAAACACACGTACCTAATTAGATTAGAAGTGGTCACGTTTCATTCCACAAGTGAAATCGATTGCCAGTGCAGACGTAATATATAGCTCAATTCGGGAGTTCTAGAATATTGTAGTCAAGATATCGTTTGTATTGTAATATATATAGAAACTACGTTCACTTCACGAGTGTACCAGAATGGCAGCAGCAGAAAAATGTCGAGCTGTCGTACGACGAATGACATCAGCTTCAAACCCCACTAAATAACGACCATGACTAGAGCAGTCAAGAACGTATCGAACAAGAAGAATATATAGAAATACCAGCGAGAAATCTTTCTCACGTGTAATTCATATATCAGTATTTTGATAAAGATTGTGATGGTGCAGTGGTACAAATAACTGACACTATTCATTTGACCAGCTATGATTACGTGTTCGATCCTTAGATAATTCTTATTCTTGACTATATCTATTTGTATGTGGTAAAATATATTTTCATATAATTATGTAAAAAATGCTCAAATATGTATATTTTGTACCTATTATACCCACTATACAATACGTTTAATTTATTTTTGTTATATACTTATACCAACCAATTTTTTGTTTTAGTCCATCTTTAGAAATCCAACGCATCGAAATTATCGCTCCTAAAAATGCTGATTATTTAACTAGGAAGATATATATTTTATACTATCTATTTATCTCTATATATATTTAATACAAATAAATAAATTATTATTATTAATATTATTATTATCGTTAGTCGCGGGCTTAAGCTATCCTTTCAGAATGAATCTTTGACATAAATGTACTTTAAAGTGAATGTACAATACAAAGGAAAACTCGCCTTTGTTATTTTAAAACCACTCGCCCTGATCATTATTATGAAGGAATTTCATTCGGAATACTCTATTAAACATTTCTATTTAAATTAAGATAGAACCGTATTGTTTTTTGTAATCCTTACTTTAAATTATTAATATTAGAGCTAATTAAAATTATGCAATTTCCTAAAAAATAATGAATATCAACTATGTATCTACAGTAAATAAAATAAAGAATAATGTAAAAAAAAACAAAATAATATTATTAGGTACCTATATATTAGATAAATGGATATGTCAGTATATATACCCTCCCTGTTCGTGTTGCGCAAGATAGGATTCAATAAACTACGGGTATGCAGGGAATTGTCTCCTGTTTTATAAAATAAACAATTCTGGTGCTTGGTATAATGAGTTTTAAGGTGCCAGATAATTATCTGGGACGGCAACGTAGCCTCCAGTAGATAACGATACATCGAGGCAGAAGTAACTTCTTAAACAAAACACCTCTGATGCTCGCATTACCCACTCCCAATCAAGTTGTGTGTAAAATGTCTGTGTGTATTCACAAGCACAGCATTGTATGTTATGTGGTATCTTACTGAACATGTGATTTAATATTATATTAGTGACATTATTGCATTGGCCCTATTCCTGTATTGATAGTTGTACAATTAAATAAAATATTTACCATCTAGTTTGTTCGTTTCGAATCGCGAAGTCAGTTTGTCTAACTGTTTGTTATTGTTTCACTTGAGGAAACACGATGTCATTTTTACAGAGGTTGTTAAATATGAATTTGATAAAAAAATACCATTATTTTTTATTAAATTCAGCTAGTATACTGTGAGAAGTAGAGGATAAAAGATTATTGCAGACGACAACTCGAGAATCAGCTGGTATTTAACATATTCGATCAATATTAAAATGTATGTTTGTATAATATATTTCTCGGTAAGTCAGTCAGTCTCAAAACTAATTAACACTAGTTATTTATTAACGGCTGTAGGCTCGTTTCCTGGCAGTGCAATGTTCCGTTGAAGTTTATGTTCACTATAAAGTCGACAGTTGGCATTACTTCCACGCTATTCAGGATTATAGTTATAAGGAAATTTCATATTAATAAAAGCCGACCCCTAACCTTTCTAGAAGAATAAGTTATTCAACATTAAAAGATTGTTTTCAATATACACCGATTGTTCCTGATTTGTGTTCATATTACACATTAATAGAACATTTTATCCAGCAAGATTTGCCTTGGGAATAAACCCACCAACTACCATTTAAGATCTAAGAGAAGAGTATATAAGGCGAAATACGAAATAAGTAGACAACCTACGTCGTCAATTGTTAAGAATCCGTATTATTAAGAACCATGAACTAAAATGACATACAAGCGTTAAGCGTAAGTTGTCACGTAGATACTGCAAGTTCCGGATATGCGGTGTCTACGTCCCGTATTACAAATACCTAAGTGTCCCACTTTTAGACCAGCTTTTCCTTTGTTTTATTCAGTACGCGGCGTGACAGGGACAACGTAAAACACGCAAGTTTAACACGCAACAGGTATTTATATAGTGCTGTAAACTCTGTTATAGAATATCACAGAGGTCATATCATGTGTACTTTCATGGCTTGTTACTTATAATTTCATTTATTGAAATAAAACTACCCTTATAAAATTTTCTAGGTATTATATTTGAAATTAAAAGGTTAGATTACTTCAGCCATTTTTTATGTATATAAATATTTTACATTGGAAGTTTTTTCAGGTTTTTTGAAAACGGTGTATATATAAATAAGTTGTTTATAGTAATTGTATCTATAAATAAATATAATTATATATTTACATTGCTGTAGTTTCCTTGAACGTTTTAAATAATAAAGCATTATACGCCTATTGAATGCATTTTAAAGTTAACGATCCTACGAAGAATTTTTCCACTAGATATTTACCTCAATTATTATACTATAAATAAATTGTTAAGTTTCCATTTATGATTTCACAAGCATAAGTCTAATTATGAAATGTGTTGTCTAGTACCCATAACATAAGCTCTACTTAAATTAGGATGATGTGTTGTAGTGTAAAATGTACGAACAAAAATGTTGTACTTTTTTAGTAAGAGCATAATAGACATATATTGTTATCATTATGTCAGGTAAAATTAATAAGAACATTGTTTCGGTGTCATACAATTCTTAATATTACAGAGAAAATCTTTATAAAAGTACTTATTGTATATGATATATAATTTTCTGAACGCAAAATAAAATGTAATAATATCTTCCTAAGTTATCATCAGTACTCCAGAAATAAACATTACTTACAGTCCGCTTATACAACTTACTCTGACAATTTTCGGCTACTTCAATGTTATTAATATATTAGAAAAGAATAAAGTTTAAAATGTATCAAAATTATGTTGATAAATTGTGATATGAGAGATAATATAAATCTTCAAAATTGTAATATGATTAGTAAATTACTTTTCTACATATAACCTAGAATAAACAGACATTAATTATAAAATGCTGGATTAGATTTCTATCTATATTCTTCAAAATGTGCATGTCCATCTATTTCGTTATAAAGTACCTCCTGACGACTAAATGACTAAATAGATAAAATTTTAAATTTGTTTGGCTGGTTTACCATTAAAATTATATAAAGTAAAGAATGATGATTTTTAACACTTTCAAATACACTAGGTCTAAGACAACCTTAATGGACAATTTATGATGTCTAATAAAAATCAATATGTATTTGTTTGTTCATTTTTTATGCGTTACCATCACGTTGATCCATCACGATAAAACTTTGCCAATATATTGCTCCCACGTGCCAATGTTTATAGGTATAGTACACGTAACTTGTAATATGTGTACGTGTCGTACCGTCAAATATATTTCGAAGAACATTTTTGTAATTCTACAATATTTTGAGGCCTGTTATTCAATGTGCCTGATAGCCCGTAATAAGTAACTAAAAACCATAGAGCTATGCAAACTCTTTAACTCGGATTAAAAGTATTATATATGTTAATTGTATAGATAATGAATTTGTACTTAGGGATAATTTAATTAGGGATAAGTTTTCTTTGAAATTTGGTATACAGTATGTATACCAAATTTCATTCCAATTCGTCAGAAGGTCTAGACAAATACACAAAGTTAAGTAAGCATTTTTAATATTAATAAGTGTGTCCATTACGTCAGTTTGCCTGTGTATTACTTTTTCAGAACAGACCTTAATGAAAGGAGTGAGGACAGATTGTAGATATGGGGCCTGACATAGTCTATCTTTTATGTCATAAAAAGCATACGTGGACACAAGTTACGGCTAATATATTATTAATATAGTCAAATAACGGTATTTACCTCTCTCGACGTTTAGGTTGCACAAATGGTTACGTGGTCACGAGCTAACTGACCACGTCATTATTATATATTCATAATGTGGCACTTATATCTATAATATGTACCAAACGTAACATTTTAAATACCTAACGGTTAATAATCCTTACTAATATTATAAATGTGAAAGTAACTCTGTCTGTCTGTCTGTCTCGCTTTCACGCCAAAACTACTAAGCCGATTAGTATACAGATAGTCTAGATCCTGAGAAAGGATATAAGCTACTTTTTATGGCGAAAAAAGGGTTGTAAGGGGAGATGCAAGGTTGTATGGAAGTATCGTAATTTTTAAAGCTAGAAGCTTGAAACCTATTTTTAGGCTGTTGACTAAATGTATTATAAATAAATATGACATTCAAAATTTGTATAAATTTCATCCTTAAGGGGTTAAAACAAAATAGGGGATGAAATGGAAATTCCTCATTAGTAGTTTCTTTCATGCGTCGCGGGCACAGCCAATTTATAATAAAGCAATGTTTTTTTACTTACCCAGGGTGCGGAAGACAATAGGCCTGCTCCTATACTTATGGCCGCCCCACAGTGCGGCTACAGTCACTTGGTACTGTGTATCTGCCTCCAGTCCACTCAGTATGACAGCATCTGAATTTCCCGCCACCTCCAGCACCACTCTGTAACTAACGAGCAATCAGTCAATTTCGTTGTAATCTATTAACAAGCGGAAGTTAGAAGGAAGAGAGAAGAAAATCGAAACGCTAATCTAATAGTATAACAAATGCGTAATGAAACTAAAGTCAAGCAATTTTTTAGGAGAAAAACAAAAGTACTTTTTTTTACGCTGTATTGTATTTTGTTTTAATTATTTTGACAGATGCCTTGTCAACTTTTATATAGGTATAAATATGCATGCAGACTTTTGTATTATAATTAATCTACTTTAATTAATATGATTTTTCTACGTTTGTCCTTACATTAATTTTGAAGTTACTTCTATTGGTTTTTATGCAAATAAAGTAGTCAATTAATATTATTATACAATAAACGCTATTGTGATACATATTGGTAATATAATTTTAATTTAATAACAATGTATCCTATATAACCTATTATGTTTATTTTTTACATTATTTTATATGAACTCTAAATAATTATTGTTGATTACTTAAACAGAAATTTTAAAACCATAAAATATATCATATTGTGTTGTTAGAAATACAATTGAAATATACCTATTTGTTCTCTAAACAAAAAAAAACTATAACTGTCAAATCAAAAAACCAGCATATTTTCTAAGCAAATTTGTCGGAAATTCTACTTCCGACGGCCGTCCCGCCCGTTCCGTTCGCAATTTGTACTTTAAGCCTTACTCGTTTCTTTTTCTATTCTACGCCTTTCACTCAATAAAAGTTGTTTTGTTAGTGATTCGTTTTGATGTAAACTGCTACAAAGGCGGGTTATTTACGAAATGCAAGTAGGTAATGGATTTATTGTGAAACTTAAAAACAGACTTCGTACAATTATTATAACAGATCAGATCTTATACGCACGCATATACATTCAAGCTCCTGAAATGGATACCTATTACTTATTCGGCTATTAAGTAAAGTATAGCAAAACAATATAGATAAAAAAAATGTGAAATTGAGATGGTGTTACCGTCATGTTGTATTTTAAGTATTTTATTCGTATTCTGTTATTTCGAAACTTAGAATTAGGCATATAAAATATTAATTTGATTAAAATGTTGTAATTTAAATTAAATTAAAAGTTGATAATACATTTTGTGTTAATTTACGTGATCATACATTGTCTTTTATTAACATATTTTTTATAGAAAGTAGCTATTTGTGTTTATTTGCGTAATCACAGTCCTGTATTAATATCTTTTTATAGAAAGTAGCCATACCAAATGCCCTACAAATTAGAATGATTTCGTGCAGAAAATTATCTGCACATATAATAATATAATCAAAACACCGTTTTACTTAACATTGGAGTATATTGAAGAAAGTTCTTAATTCTACATATATTCACTCAACCAAGAATTTGAGGGCATCTGAAGAGATGCCCTCAAATTCTTGGTAAAGTAACTGCTTTACCATTTAACTGAACTAATCAAATTATTGTAACGCTGTAAAGATGTTTGGATATTTAGATGCTTGAATGATCGTTGTCCAATCATGCTTAAATAATTGAACAGATTTTAATGGAATTTAGTACATACAACATACAATTCGACTAACAATCTAAGATACCTTTCTATAAATTTCGCTTCTACTACTGAGGGCTATTGCTAGTGATCTAATACTTGTATATTAGATTACATTTCATTATCATTACATAGTACAATAAAGTCGATACGACTGTCGGTTCGCATAGATCTTTTAAACTACGCAACGGATTTTAATGCAGCTTTCAAGATGATGAAGAGGGTGATGCAAGAGGAAGGTTTATATGTTAATACATGTACACCCATGCGAAGTCAGGGCGATTAACTAACAGGTTATAAATTTTTGTAGAGCAAAGTAAAATAACAACTTTTTATAACTGTTCGTAAAATTTCAACACAATGGAATTTTCTTGGTCTCAAATACAGGTTGTACTCCAATAAAAACTATGTCAACAGGCAATTCAAATTAGGGCAATTTGCATTTATTAACATACCAACCACCACAGATATAGTAGGACTTCCAAGTTTTCCACTATCGACGGTTTTGTTGAATATTCAACAGTTGGTTCAACACTGAATTTATATTAGACGGAGTCACCGACTCTCGTTTAGGTTGCCTATTGTGACATTTTAAATTTGTTTCTATTATAAAAACTGTTAGGCTGTTTACTAAACAAACATTCAAAGAACAATAAAATATTTTATTAACAATTTGTATCCGATTTTAAGATATGTATCAAAACTGTTTTCAACTAATAAGTGAGTATACCAGTAAGTAATGAGTGACCAGCAAATGAGATCATAATCAAATCGAATGGACAACAAAGTCAGTATATATAGTACAATATATAGTACATTACAATGTATTTTACAATTTATCACAAAATAATCTAATACTGACACCCAATAAGCCATTTCGTATTGAACATGACGATGTAGCGAGTGCTGACAACGGTTTTAATTTTGCAAAACCTTTCCGTGACCTTTCAAAATGAATTGGTAGGAAAAATTAAATTATATTTACGAAGTACTATAAAGCATACATAACTCTTAAATCTACAAATTTTTATTACAATAATTTAGACCTTGTTTTAGGAAGTCAATAAATTTTATACCTTGTGTAATAAATCGATAAAAAATAAGAAGTATTAACTTTTTAAAACCTATATAACTTTAATAAAAGACATCTGGTATTATTACAGTTTTTTGTTTTGTTTATTATTTATACTTTAAATATAAGGCTTTATTCTTTATTTGGAGCAAGCAGATATGACTTAAACACCACCAACACGCTAAAGAAACGACTGATTAAGTCTATATAAGTAAAAAATAATGTAGTAAGTCACTGTAATAAAAAGTTATAAGTGCACTTGTTAAATTATATTACTACGCTGCTCATTAAATTGCAAACACCAGAAAAACTAGGTTATTTCCTCTACAAAGAGTTGTAACTATAATGTGAACAAGTCCACAACTTATATTTCTGTTTTTCTTCAAATAAATATTTAAATTCTAGTGTGCTGCTTAAAAAAATACTCTAATACTAATACTAATTATTTTCTGATGTTTTTTTAGGCCTCACTAGCCTCTCTATTAATGTTGAATTATAGCATGTTTGTCAAGTTTTTTTGAAGAAACATAATATATCATAATAATATCATCACCACTGCTATCTCAATTAGGGTAGTCAAACACATTATCGACTTTAGAAGCGGTGAACGCAACACTTTTATTTTCATCTGACTTGACGGAGGACGGATCTAATGCCCTCTTTAAAATTATTTTTTGTTATGTTTTATAAATTGCTTGATATTAATCATTTGGTCAAGTAGTTGCCAAAGTCTAGTAACCGCGATCAAAAAGTATGTTATAACCAATGAGAGCAGCTGATGGGAAGCAAACATTTTTATTTTTGTTTACTTTCCCACTACTACAAATATAACAGAATATATACGTTTCGGGTGACATACATACTACATGTATGAAAAAGATAAACAAAAAAGTTACCAATACGCATATTTTTGAATGCTATTTGTAGGATGATTAGATAGGAGATTTAATAATAAGTTAAAGTTGACAGTTAACTGAACTCAGTCAATAATATGATATTATATATATATTGATTCCAAAACTACGAGAATTTGTATAGAAACGGGTATCACAGCGAGTACTACTGTTCCACTATTTGATTCTATTGAAATAGTATCTATTTGAAATTACATTCAATACTAGACTAACTATAGAATAACTATACTGCACTATTATGATTTAGTACTACAAATAGATAGATACTATCTATGACATGGTTGCTTCTATTGTGCTCGTTTGTATGATAATAAACGGAACGTGAATCAATTTTGCTACCCTTGTGCTAAAATCAATCGATCTTATCGCTAGAACAACATTCTCAGTGTATGCCATTTATATTAACAGCTAAGTAACTAAATATAATTATCATATAAAATCATTTAAGGTGTATTTTTTAATTTAGAATATTTTTTTTTTCAATTGAAATTTATTTTTTTCTCTACGGTTTAGTTTATAGTCGTCCATTTCTAGCCATTATCATTCAGTCACATTCAGTCTCACAGTCGACCAATATTCAGACTTAGATGACCTCGGTAGCCTAGCGGTTTAACACACCGCCTTACTTCCGATGGTCGCGGAATCGATCACTCGCACAGTAGTACAAACATTTATAATCATGAATATGATTGTTTTTATTGCTTTTTAAGTATTTTTATCCATTTATAGTACCTATAATACTAACTCTGCTTAGCTTAGGACTAGATCTCGATGTGCGAAATGTAGTTATTAGAAAAAAAATACACATTACAGAAATAATATTATAATTAGAGCTTCGAACGAATTAATCCAAAAAATTCTAATTTGGTCATACTTCTATCCACGATCGATAACTTCGAATATCTTTGAAAGAGTTTCCAGTATTAATACTGTCAAATATATCAAAATGAGTAATACTGCATAGTCAAGGTAACACCAAACAATTATGATGTAACATTGGTACCTATTCCGACTAGTTTGCATATTTGTGAAAGCTAAATACTTCAAAACCAAAGCAAATCCATTGGTCCAAACTATAGTTGAGGAAACAAAGCTCGTATTTCAAATACAATTGTGGTGAAACAGCCACTCCAAACAATTCGTTAAATACATCGGTATTGTAACCGAGTATCAAAGCAGTATTGTACCAGAGTATTAATTCATAGTTACTAAAATAGTTACTTCACTCTGAAATGTACCTGCTGTTAATATTGAAGTACATTTATCCACTTGCCCATAGAAACTAAACTACTACTACATCCTCATAGTTCATTTATAGTTAATATAAAGCGTTTTGTCACTGTCTTTCAAGTCAAGAAAATAGCTCGAATGCAAAGGAGAAGGGTAAATTTATTGTTTCGGTTTGAATTAAAAACATTTTTGCCGCATTGAAATTGCATTATAAACATACTCGTATTTCTAATTGTACGTTTAGCTATTAATTACTCCGGACTATTCATTAACGGAAAATAATGACTTCGAATATCAAGTTTCTATTCCGAAGTTGGTGAGCGTTAATTTCCTACAAAATTTAATATTAAGTTCCGTGCTCAAGAGTCGCGAAGTTAAATGACGACGTAAACTGAGTTAACGCTGTATGCTTTGATCATTTTATTACGACAATCATAAATATGTCACTAGTTATCACCAATAAATACGCACATGTGTATATGTCACACGAATTTAGAAATTTTAGACACTAATGGTTCAATTTACCTGTAACTTTTATAGCCAATAATTTTTAAATTGACAAATTTAATTTAATAATAAGATGACATCATCTTCTTTAATACTATATGCATATGTACGAAGATGGGAAAGAGTTTTTAAAATAATAATATTAATGAGTAGATAATGTGATGACTATCATTTGAACATATTGCGTGTTAACAACTGCCACGGCGGCTAGACGGTTTGGCATTCTTCATATACGACATCATTATAACTATTGTTGTTGAAATTAACTCAATGTTAGTTAATCAATCAATTTAATTTTGCATTGTCGTAATTAATCCCGTGATAATGTATATTTCAATTCATATACGAGTAGAGTGACATATAATGAGTGCATATTAATTAGTCAACACACTGTTACAAATAAACTAAATATTTCAGATAATATCCACGTATTAAGATTGTAAACGGGTAGTATAATTCGCCAATTAAATGGAAGAGGAAACACTACTATACATACTATATGATTGTAGTCCACTCATGAATAAACGAAATATCCCCTTTGGAAAGTATACAATATCCTGAGGAGATAATATCCATAGCTCCTATCAATATCCTTCAATTCTTGTCTGAACGGATCTAGACAGTGAACTCTAAAAAAAGGCGAGCACAACTACGCTAGACACTAGGTATTTTAGCACCGATAAATAATCTAAACCCCTTAAAAAAACTACTAGTTAATTTTTATACAGCAAAATCTAAGTAGTACAAATAGCTCATAAGTAGTACAGATTAGGCAACAAATATAGAAAGCAAAAGATTTGAAGATACAGAAAAGCACAGAGAAAGCATAGAAGAAAGGATAATCGTTAGCGTATCCTCACCTCGCGTCTGAAGGTTTATATGTGACATCATACTTTTCTACAAGCTCCGCCGTGGTGGACCAGGACACCTTCACAGTGGTGGGATTGAGGAACGTCACTGTTATGTTCTCAGGCACACCAGGGCCCATTGATCCTGGTAACAAATGTCAAATTAGTAATTGAACAATGCAGAATTTACAATGTAAAACTAATATTATAAGAAATAATTAATGGAATTTAAATATCTTTCAGCGATTATTTTGGAACACAACATCAACATTGTGGCAACACTGCCGTATTTTCTTAAGTAAGTGGGCCGCCCATAAAAATTGTAAGCTATCCAAAAATTTATTCTACGTTTTTTCTGAAGGTCCTTTTTCAATCAAACGCCAGAAGCAGCCTTCCACATATAAAATGGTATTTATAAAAAATATAAATGTTTGAAACAAATGGATACGTGCAAAGCGAGGTTGTTAACGCATAATATTTTACAAAGGCGTATAAAAAGTATAAAAATATTTATCTTCAAAAAACTTTATACAAAGTCGTTGCGTAGGTATCACTGCACTGTACATATTTCCTAAATGAACATCTCATTGGCAATGTGTTTTATGATGTGGGTGGTCTGTTCTAGTTTATAGGCAAACAATTTCCACCGAGTCCAAATGAGTCGACAAATTTGCTTGTTATTTTAAAGAAATTCGTTACATAATTACATTAAACACTTTTTTGCTTAAAAAATACACTTAATATAATAATTAAAGAATGATAAAAAAGCAGTGCGAGATTGAATAATTACTCTAAAAAATTTAATATTGGCATTTTTATATCAGAATCACTTACCGTAACTTATTTCCTATATAGATATAGTTTTCTTTAAAAACAAATAGTATATTGAGAAATAAATAACAAACAAGCTAATAAAAAATATAAAATTTTCAAGTAACAAATATATGAGTAATATAATCTAAATTATTTGTATATTTATAAATTATTAAAATTATTATTACTGATTATAAAGGCCACATATAAAACATTATTAAATAATTATTTAGCGATTCCTGATAAAAGTTAAAAATAATTTATATTATTACATTTCAAAATTGTTACTTTATATCTGAACATTTTTGATGATATCTACAGTTAATAAAAACTATGCACTATAAAACCAAATAAAAAATACAACTAACAATTACATTAACTTATACATATTCCGTTGAAGGTGAAATTTTAATAACATTTCCTCGAATTCCCAGCACATTGTTATATTGTAAAGCAATTTAATATGGCCGGTGAATTTTCCTACTATGTTTCATTTCAATAAAATGTCTGATAAGTTTAATATTGCAATTAATGCCTGCCAGCTACGATAGATTGTGTTGATATCCATATAATATAAGTAATTATTTTATACAAAGCGAATGTTCCCATTTTATTATCTTTAATTATAAGACCTATGGCTAATTATGTTTACAGTATTACAAAAAAATAGTAATGATTTTCATCGTCATCATAATTTCAGACATTGTTAAATGATAAGAAAGAGGCATAATTAATGTGATTAAAATAGCTAATGGTGGATTTTTATAACTATCACTTATAGGAATTAATTAAAAATTATTTTTTTAGTAATATTATGATTTAGGAATTCATATTTTGTTGTAAAATAATAACAAACTGTATTTTTTAAGTAAACAAGTACTATAAGAATAAATAACAAAATTAAGGTGAAAATATGAAAAGTAAATCACATTTTGTTGTTTTTTGAAGTTGAAAGAAAAAAAGTTAATTAAAATTAAAAAGTTTAGGCGGTAAAGCTGATAGATACATATAGTTTAAAATGTAGCCTGAAGTCACGCATTACATTTGAGAAATTACCTACATATGCACTGTCCAAACATAGAAGAACCTATACTTAGACTGTGCCTACACAAATATTGCTTGCTTATGTTTAAGACAGAAGGGTCGGGATCATATGGAACTGAATTAATTACCATTACTACAAATAACTTACTAGTTAAATACTCTATACAATATAATGTTCTAGCTGTTCTTATTTTATTTATATTTACATAGATAGATTCAGAACTTCAAATTTAAATTCAAAAATCACTTATGTAGGACACTTTAACCGCTTATGACCGTGAAATTTTTTGTATTGTAATTTTTCCTCTGCCGTCCAGTTCAGTATACAGTCTCAATTGAGAAGGCAGTTTATTTACAATGTTTACTATATATGTCTATGTCCAACATTAAATGAAAATTCCATACATGAACAACTATTGTCATGCACGCTCGTCATTCAAGTAATCGCTTAGTCAGTTTAGTGGCTTTGCTTAATAAATATGATTTAATAGATGTTTTGAATTTATTAAAAGATAATTCTAATATATTTTTTGGTAACTTATTGTATATTTTTATACTCATTCCCATAAAAGACTCATTGACTTTTCTAACTCACTAGTAAATTAAAATAAAACAAAGAAACTGTAACTGCACTCGGTGCAATTTTAAAAAGTAAATTGAATGTTCTATTTTTCTTCAATTGCATTCGAAGTTTTAATTTCATTTTGAAATTGTGTTTGAGAGACATGGGGCAAGTTGAGGCGTATTTAAATACGCCTGGAGCATAAAGCTAACAATGCATGATATTGCACTTTAAGCGAATGGAATTCTTAACGAGAACAAGTCGGTACATGTAAATGGTCTGTTGAAATCATGAAAAAGGACTTGAATATAAAATGCAACGGTTTCAAGACGACTGTAATGTTCGAAGCAAACTTTTCTATTATGGTTATATCAAATAGAAAATAAGTACATGCAATCTAATCAAACTCGAATGTTTATCTTGAATTAAATGAAAATAAAACAAGTACTTATATATCAAGAGAATAAAATACATTGATAAAAAAAGCGGTAGATAAAAAAAATTATGACTTTTCAAAAGTGCTTAAATTAAGTTTATTTGAATAAATGATTTTCCATTCTATTCTATTGTCAATCTAAATGACATTGATATTATTTTAATCAAAAATTCATTAAACATTTAGTTTCCTTTTTTTAAAGAAAATAATAAAGCAGTGTTATTGTTATATTGTCTTTTCAGGAGCTTTTATTTATTATAAATATATATGAAAATTACCATCGACTAGAGTTTCTTCGTTGAGATGTTCTGGCACTTAATTAAAATGTATGTGATTGGAGTATCAAATAATACAATAGTTGACTTGATGAAAAGTGATAATTTATTAATAAGGTAAGTAGTATCCGTCTCTTATATGTGTACAAGAGCAACACTACGGGCATCACATCATCGTATAGTGATACTCCTCCAGAGTTACAATGAAGGTTATCATTATACGACAATGTGATGTTCTAATGATCTTATCAACACCAACCCATATTTATTCATTAAAAAAAGCAATAAAAATAAGGGCGACTGCAGAGGGCGTTACAAATCCGCGGAAAGACGCATAGGACATCTGAACACCAAATTCTACCTAACGATTACGACTCGTAAGAATGTAAGATTTTAAAATATAGGATACACACCAGCGTTAACAATGCGCAGCAGCAGCGAAAGGGCGAAAGCGACGGCGGCCGTTTGCGCGAGCGGCCCGCGCCGCATGTCGCGCCCACCCGACCTCTCATGCCATATCGCTTCTGAAACAATACAACATATGGTTATCACTTTGTTGTAATATATGCATACTTCATCATCATCATCATTATATAGTATAAAACATAGTCGCTGTCGCTGTCTGTCCCTATGTATGATTAAATCTTTAAAACTACGCAACGGATTTTGAAAAGTTATTTTTAATAGATAAAGTGATTCTAGAGGAAGGTTTATATATATAATACATGTATGTACGCCCGGCCGAAGCCGGAGCGAGTAGTTAGTATATAATATAACAAGAAAATGTGTCTTTGTGTTATCAACAATCAACAAAAATCTATTAAATTGTACGTAAAGATATATTGACGGAAATAGACTATATTGTATCTCAAAAACGGAGAAGGTCGCAGATACGACTTTATAATTCAATATATTGTAACAAACATAATATATATTATAATGCGATAGAAACTTAATAACTTTATTTGATATTTGTGGTGTATGTACTTTAGTGTATTGTTTGCAATGGTGTCAGCATCGTGGCCTAGTTGTATACTACTCTAACTCAAAGGCCATAAGTTCGAATTTAGCTGAAATAATAACAAACCAAATTCAACCGAGAGACGACGGTAATTTCGTCCTCTACTATATTAGGTTCAAACAATTTTGCCGTTTGAGCAGAGCATAACATGTGATGAGACTGAGAATAACGTCTCTGATTACTCCATCATAGATAACAGTCGCAATAATATGTATGTGGGTTTACAGCTACATTAATATCTAGTGTAGGTATTACAATTTTTCATTATCACTTATAGTACTAAGGATCCATTTATAGGACACCAAGCTTAATCGTTTAAGTTTTAACATTAACATTACAAATTATTAAAAAATCAACATTAATGTTAAAGTTATTACAGTCGATTTTTTTCAGAAATTATAATTCTTTAGTTAATGCACTTCAGTAGGTATTGTGTTATAAAAATTGTTTATTCACAGTCTAAACAACCTTTAAACTACTACGTGAGGACAGGTTCAAAATTTTTTATTCAAAATTTCGCTAATTGCTTCAATTTCAGAATGTAAGAAAGAGTACATACATACATACATATCTAAGTTTACCAAATATAATGTTTCCTAACTTACTACTGGGTTCGGATGAAATAACGCCCACGTTACAAACTTAGTAGATTTATCTTATAATGCATAGAGACAGTTGCATATATCGCATATTAAGTTTGGCGCATATATGTTCACACCTCGTTGTGTTTACTGAATCACAGCGAGGGCAGACAAAATTTTTTTTTTAATTAAATTATATGAACGTCCAAACTCAATTTATTGTTGTATTTTAAGTAAATTATTTGGACTTTTTTTAATTGGCGTAAGTTAAAGGTAGTTGGCACATAAAGCTGAATATATTATATATATCTAACTAACTTTCCAGTCATGGAAATACTAGCAATAAATCGGATTATTGGCAGTAACTTGCCATCTGCCACATTGGATTCAAATACTATTTACTAAATTGTGGGCATGGCAAAGAGACAGATAATAAAGTCTATTTTTTAAAAAAAGAAACTAGTCATTAGATTTTTGACGTTTTCATGTGCACATAGCAATATATATGCTAATTATGTAAAGTAGTTTTCTCGAAGTTATGAAAGTTATACATAATACACTTAAAATCGACCAAAAGGTGGACTTAATATTTAATTGAAAATGAAAAATATGTTTGTCACAGTCATTCTTCTTCTCTTTTCCTTTTATAGCCTTTCTATTGCTATTTAAACAGCACGTTGTAGTTCTATCATTCATTAGAAATGTTCTATATTTTTTTTGAAACAGTTTATAAACAAAATAAGGCCAATATAAGTTATATTTGTACATAAACTGTTCCGTTTTGAAGTTTTGAAATCTGCTTTCATCCGGGGAAACGCCAACTCCGACCCTATCTCCAACACAATTGATGTGTTGACATAATCTTACAGGCAATAAGCTCTGAATAAACTTAGAAGGCCGTCAAGTTGTCTCAGATCAGAAGTCAACAAACTTTATTTTAAACTGATGTTTAGTAATTATTTAGAAATTTAAATACATATATACACATGATATCTCTTCGCTTTTCTAAATTTTACTTTTAAATTTCACTGTATTTTGTGTATATTATCACAACATCTCTATTTAGACCGCTATTTTTTTTGTAATCGGTTGAGATAAATATTCTATTTTTAAAAAGGGTATAAATGGTTTCATTAAATTATTGGAACTTTTTAGTGAATTTAAACCTTTTTGTACTTTTAAGTGAATACTCACATATTTTAAATAATCAAATTTTGATGTTTTCCTAATCTAGCTTTCTGTTTTATCCTTGTGTTAATAACCATGTTAGCTCACATTTAATGCTCGTTAATCAAGAATCCTTCATAACAAGAACATTAGCAACATTAAATTTTTGAAGGTTCAGTCTATTGTCTTGGCTTGAGCCAACTTATTACCATATTATCAACTTATAAATATAAACACTTAATGACTAAACTTTGATTACTAAAGTTACCACGATAAAACTAACTCAAAAGCCTAGACTATTGAGTTTCGAGTGATTAATTAACAGTCTTCAAACAATCAATTAATCAAGACTCTCCATTGACGTAATATATTATTGAAACTTTCAAGTAATCTTGACTAAAGGAAACCGGATAATTGCATTATAATTTGTAAGCTACGCGCTAATGATACGTAAGCCTATAATTGCAGAGAACAATAAGTTATGGAACGTGGAGACATTTGACACGAATAATTTAGTAGTAAATAAAGTATTTACCTCTTTTGAATTTGTGACTAGGTTGCTAGAACTGAACCTGCTAACGCGATCTCGTGATCGTGTGTAGTACACCGTAGTTTTTTAGTAGGTAAAAATACCACACACCGTAAATGCCCTTAATTGATGACTGATAGTCTTTGGAAGATTTTCTACACGTAAATAAAAGCAGTTTTCGGTAACTGAATGGAACACAGCAATTTGATCAACTACTTTCACTAGATGGCTTATCAAACGATCGCTATGCTGACTGCATCCGTATACTTATTACTGGTCTAGAATACGGCCTGTATTCTAGACAAGTAATAGGTATACGGTAAAAATGTTTTTAAATTTGTTATTGAGTTATAATAAATGCCCACATTATTGGCATGTTTAACTGAAACAAAATCTCAAAATTAGATTATTGTTTACGAAATTGTATGAACTATATAAATCACTCAAAAGTTTCTGTATTATTTTGTCCTTGTAACAATCAATTATAATTTTGTAAAATGTGAAATTAAATATATTCATTTTACAAAACCTGGCCCTGCTTCTTGAATTAACAGCACATTACAATTTTTCATCTCAATACCTTTAAGAAGTTCAAAATTTACCCGTCGACCGTTTTGTAATTAAGATAAAACGTTTAGTTCATAGCTTGGATCACTGAAAGGATCCAGACTGAGTAATTGCTCTAAATATTTCATACCCAGTTATCAAAAGGGCTTATAAAATTAATTTATATAGCAATACCCTAGTAGACTCATCTAAATGGATTCCGGTATATTGTTCTCTAAAATTCTAATCGAAATTAGAATCAAAGACAAATGAATTTAATCACAACATGTGAAATAAATTCTAGTCGCAGTATACTAAATATTTCAGTATAATAACCTCAACGATTACCAGATCCTTGAGGTTAGGCCCAAACCCAAACTACCAAAATAATATAACAGAAACACGGTGGCAATTTATTTTATTATATAATATATGATTTCATTTATTTCGGATATTTATCCATCCATATTATGTTAGTAAACAACTTATAAACTATATTAGTAAATTACAATTTTATACATTTGATTCATATATTTATATTTATGTCTTTGTCCACGTCCAGAAGCCCTGGGTCCGCAGCAATGCAGCGATATCCAGTGCCCCTGAAGCGGACAATTCGACACGGAAGCAATTTATTGCACATTACATCGGACCGACAACGCTCTTCGCTCCCTCCTTCAGTTATTATATAACTGCACTATTTTTTTTCTAACAACCGTCATTTAAACAGGAACTGCTGTTCATGATGATCCACAAAATCATGCCATCACGCGACGCCCTCAGGCATTCCATTTCAGGGACATATCCAAATTCAGGACTTATACAGCAAGCTGCTTAGTTGAAATACATGAGACATGTGTCTACGCAGACTACTTTGTTAAAAGACTACCTACCATTAGTAAATTCTCTAAAATCATACAATATAATTAATTTTAATAATATAATTATCATGACCAGGACATGCGTAACAGCGTCTAAATATCAGAACTTAAACATTCGTGCGTAAAGTTTAAAATTGTGTTCTATAAATTAATTTCATTGATGTGAAGCTAGCAAGCTAGAAGCTAAACGATTGCTAGTAATTAATATTAAAATCAAATCAAATTCTATTTACAGCGTAAAGCAGCTGTAACTTTATGTTCCATAGATTTCCCACCTCGAGTATACTGCAAGTTAATCCCGCATCTCGTTTATTCATAAAACCTCTCCAGACAAAGGAAGTTCTTATAAGTCAAGTTAAATTAAATATTTAATTTGCAATTAGAGCTTCGCTGGTACTTTTACAAAGTCATTAGTGTACTTTTGCAACAGTTTATTTGTTTATTCATACTATAAATATATAATAACGTATTTACCTGCCAACGCCGCCATTTTTTCATATAATGGATAAGTCATATCGTTCATATAAGATATCATTCTGTATAAATTCACTGCTTTTGTGGTCTAGCGATTTAGCACTCAGCATTACTTCCAATGGTCGCAGGTTAGATTCTTCGCACAGTACAAATATTTGTATTCATAATTATAATATATAATATAATATATATTTAAGTATTTATAAGAGTTGTCTAGTACCCATGAGACAAGCTCTGCTTAGTTTGGAACTAGATGGCGCTGTGTGAATTGTCCTAGGTTTTTATTATTATTATGATGTAAAATACTGTTACGTTCAATTCCAAT